TTGAAAAGAAGCCAAGTATTTTGCAACAGGATAATAGCAAAGATGACTTGCAGACATCTCAGTAATCAGCAAGGTCCAGGTTTCTGTCACCTAAACACTTATACCACGTTGTTTTTGCCTTGGTGTTACCCAACTGTGGTCAGAAAACACGAGCTATAAGCAGTCTCTTTTAAATTAACCTCCTCGTTTACATTGTGGGTGTCGAGGATTTTGTCCCAACAATGAGAAGGAGACTAAGACCCTTAGCTGTTTCAATAACACTGTAGTGAACAAAAGCATGCAGAAATTTTGTCAATATACTGATTTAGTTTAGATATGTATCCACCACTGGGTTTGTTGAATCATATGGTTGTTCTATTTGAATTTTTAAAGGCACATCCCTACATTTTTTTCACGATGGCTGCACTGATATATGTTTCCATAATCACTAAGATCCTCTTTTCTTTTTATCTTTGCAAAAATGTGTTATATCTCATGTCTCTTTGATAATAGCCATCATATCAGGAGTGAGATGAAATCTCATTATGATTTAATTTGTATTTTATGCTTAATAATTTTGACCATATTTTCATATTTATATTTATTATTTTTATCAGATTTTTTGAGACAGAGTCTTGCTCTAATTCAGGCTAGTCTTTAACTCACTCTGTAGCCCAGGCTGCCCACACACTCACAGTGATGCTCCTGCCTCAGCCTCCCAAGTAGTAGGATTGCACCTTCTTGTGATTTTTATGGCTTCTTTTCAGAATTACTTACTCATGTTCTTTGCCTAATTTTCAATTAAGATTTCTTACCTGGGTTGAGTTTCTTATGTGTTTTGCATATTAATTCTTATCAGAAGAATAGCTGACATATGCAGTCTCATATTTTATAGATTTTTCACTTTGTTCTATTATTTCCTTTGCTATGCACACTTGGAGTGAACATTATTTATCTATTTTTTGTTTTGTTACTCATGATTTTGGAGGTCACATCTTTAAAAATATTGCCAAATCGATATCATGGAGGCTTGCCTTACATACTGTTCTCATAGTTCTACAGTTTCATATTTTAGGTTTAAGTTTTTTATTCATTCTGGGTTAATTTTTATGTGTAGCATGAAATGAGGATCTAATTTTATTCGGCAAGTGGAGATCCCATTTTTGAAGTGGCTGTGCTTGTTATCTTATGTTTTCTTGGAAACTTTGTCAGAAACTCAATCGACTCTGAATGCATGGGTTTATTTCCGGATTCGCTCTTTTCTCCATTGGTCTGTGTGTCTGTTTTCATGCCAGTGTCATCCTGTTTTGATTATTATGATTTTCTAGTAGATTATTGAAATGAGGCAGTGTGGTGCCTTTGGCTTGTTTGTTTGCTTCCTCAAGATTCCTTTGGATCCATGAGGTCTTCTGTGGTCCTATAGTAATTTTGTATTGTTCTTTCTACTTCTGTTAAATTGCTAATAGAATTTTCATAGGAATTGCTTGAATTTTTAGATCACTTTAAGTAGGATGGTCATTTTTAACCATAAAAATTCTTGCAATCAATAAAAATAGAGTATCTTTCCATTTATTTATTTCCTTCTTTGGTTTCTTTACCAATGTCTTATAGTTTTCTGTATGGAGATTTTTCACTTTATTAATTACATTTTTCTCTCAGAATTTTACTGGTTTTGTAGTTATTATGAATGGGATTGTTTTCTTGAGATCTTTTTTGGATAGTTTGTAATTGGTGTATAAGAACACTACTGAATTTGTATGTTGTTTTATGTTTAAATGTTTATTGAATATTTAAATTACTTCTAACAGACTTTTTTGTCTGAGATATTGCCATGTAATTTTTTTTTAATAATATACTGCTTGTCTTTGAAATCAGGGTAATATTGGACTTTTAAATATGATTTTAGACATATTTCTTCTTTACAATGTTTTGTAAGAATTTGAGAAGGATTCAGAGTTCTTTAAATCTTTGGTAGACTTCAACATTAAAGCATCAAGTCCTAGGCTTTTTTGGTGAAATTAATTTTTTCTTTTTTATTAATTCAACTCATTAGTCATTATTATTCCATTTGTGCTTTTTCTTACCTCATGTGAATGAAAGATATGGATCTAGTTTTAATCTTCAGCATATGGAAAACCAGTTTTCAAGCACTGTTTTTCAAAGAGGCTATCTTTCTTTAGGTGAGGTGTTTGGCTCCTTTGTCAAAGATAAGATGGCTGAGTGTGTTTGGAGTTGTTTTAGCATCTTCTAATCTGTCACAGTCTTCCTTGGGTCTGTCTTTTGCCAGTACCATGATCTTTTTCCTTTTTTTTTAAATCGCAGTAGCTTTGTAGTAAAATTTCAAGTAAGGAATTGTGATGACCCTATCCTTGCTTTTATGCCCAGAATTGCTTTTGCTATTCTAGGTCTCTTCTGGTTCCAAAGGAGTTTTAGGATTGTTTTCTCTAATTCTGTAAAACATGTTATTAGTATTTTGATCAGTATTGATTTGTATAATAATTAAATTTAATTGATTTGACTTAATTGATTTGTATAACATTAAATTTGTACAATAATTTTGGAAGTGGCCATTTTTACTATATTGGTTCTTCTTACACAAGAACAATGGATATCCTTCTGTTTGTGATATCTTCTTTGATCTCCTTTTTCAGAGTATGGTAGTTTTCAATATAAAGGTCTTTTACTTCCTTTGTTAGAGTGATTCTAAGTATTTCATGTTTTTGTATGCTATTGTGAAAGGTGTTTTTTCCTTAATTTTTCTCTCAGTGAGTTTGTTATTTGTGTACAGGAATTCTTTGATTTTTGAATGCTGACTTGTATCTAGCTATGCTACTGAATTTGGTTATTAAATCTAATAGTCTTTTGGTGGAGTTTTTGGGGTCTTCTACATAGAGTATCATGCCCTCCACAAATAATGATAACCTAAATTCTTCCTTTCCTATCCTTATT